TATATACTATAAATTATTTATCTAAAATATTAAAAAAAAATTATTCATTGAATAGATAAATTATTTTGTATTTTAATGTTATTTATTGACAAATTATTTATATCATTAAAATTATATTTAAAATCCATTTAATTACTAGAGAAAACTCCATATTCTCTTTAATAATATGTTTTTCCTTACTCTAGCAAATTCATTCAATGATAATTTAATAAATTAAAAATGTAATTTATGGAAAGTAAATAAATCAAGTAGTAAATGTAGAGGATAAAATAGAAGAAAAAAAGTTGGATGCAGAATTGTTACCAGCTTACCTACATGACAAAAAAAGGACAAAAAAAAAAAAAAAAAAAGTCTTTATTGAGAATTATTAGAGTTAATGATTTTTTAATAAAAGGAATTATTAGACGTTTTGAGAAAAAAATTAATAGTTGTATGGAAAATAAACAGACATGAAAGTACTAGATAAATGAAGAAAGAAAGAATTGAATAGTGTGAAAAAAATATTCAAGTTATTAGAAAATAGAAGATAACTTGATAAGAAGTTTTTTCGTGGAAAATTTTTATCATTGAATTTTAAACAGAAAATTTTATATTAACAATAATAAAAAAAAAAAAAAAAAAAAAAAAAAACTTTTGTTTTTGGTACTTTTATATGGAATTTTCTTTATTTTTAAGATATTTTTTTTTTTTTATATTTTCGTCTGTTATTATTATACAAAAGTGGAAAGTAATGAAAATTTACTGACAAAATAAAAATGATAAAATTACGGAAAATATGATCATTTCATTTTATTAAAAAAAAAAATAATTTTAAAAAACACATTTTGTGTGCATATAAATATATATTATTATTTTTAATTATTTATAAATAAAATATTTAAGCTTTTGTAGAACAATAAGAAAAAAAATTGTTATATTGTTACATTTTTTTTTTTTATTGTATATTTGATATTTTTTATGTTAATGATGTTACATATTTTCACATGAAAAAAATACTTAAATTATATTTTTATTTTGAACAGATATTAAGAAACATTTGATTTTCTTTAAAGTAAACAAAAATAAAAATGGGAGCAGAACAAACAAAAGAAATTAGAGGAGGTAAAATTAAGGAGTTTAATTTTTTCAAGAAAGAAAAAATTGAGCGTTGAAAAAATTAAAAATATTTAAATAGAATATTTAAGTATAGTATAAATAAAAAAATTATATTTAAAATATAGCACTTGGTTATTTTAAATGAATATTTGAAATTTATTAAAAATATTATTATCATCGTTAAATAAGAAACATATAAGTTTTTTTTTTTTTTTTTTTTAAGGATACAGGATTTTAAGAATATATGAAAATAGTCCTGCATCAGAAAGTGATATAGAAATATTTTTTGATTATATTATACAAATTGATGATTTAAAATTAATAGATTCATCACAAAGAATATATGAATGTTTTATGGAAAAGATAAGGGAAAATGAAAACAAAGTTGTATTATTATTAGTTTATAATTGTCGTTATAAAAAAGTTAAAGAAGTAAAAGTTACACCTAGAAAATGGAAAGGAAATGGATTGCTAGGACTAAATATAAACTATGAATTTTTAAATGCAATGAATGAGGGAACAAGGATTTTAGATATATTTGAAAATTCACCAGCATTTAAAAGTGATTTAAATGAATATAGCGATTTTATTATTGGATGTGATAACAATATATTTAGAAATCAGGAAGAGTTAATGAATTATATTAATATAAATTATATGAATTATATTAAAGAAAACAAAGAAGAAAAATATAAAACATATTTTTATGTATATAATTGCATAACCGAAAAAATTAGAAGAGTAGAAATAGAGCCAAATAATGCATGGGGAGGTAAAGGATTACTTGGTTGTAATATAGCTAATGGATTTTTGCATAAAATTCCTCTATGTAAAGAAAATATTTTAAAAAAGAAAACAGATGTAGAGAATGGAAAAGAAAGTAATATACATTATATTGAAAATATAAATGAAGAAACGAATAATAAATCTAATAATAAATATGCAGAAAATGACTCTTCAAATTGTAATAACATAAAAAACGTTTCATGTAATGATAAAATTAATAATACTAATACATTAAACGATCATACAATAAAAAATAATGAAATTAATAATGAAAAAAATAGAGATATAGATAAGTTTTATAGCTATGATAAAAATAATAACGATATTAAAAATAATGATAATAATAAAAATATTGAGTATTATGAAGATAATAATAATGACATTAATAATGATGAAAATAACAATATTAAAAGAGATAATTTTAATGATATAAATGATAATAAATTTGGATCACTTATGCAAAACCAAAAAGAAAATGGAGAAAAATGTAAAACTGAAGTTAATTTGGATGATTCAATTGAAAATATAGATAGCTATTCAAATTACGTAAAAAAAATGAAAATTTACAGTGAGGAATTGGTTGAAATATATGAAGATATGAACCGAAATAGTGAAATTTTAAATAATATTGGAGTAAGTACAAAAATTAATTTTTTAGATAATAAAAATAATTCTACTGATGAAAGCATATTTACAGATCTGAAAAATTGTGAAATACAAAATGTATATTTGGAGTCTCATAAAAAAGATAAAGTTTCAGAATGTGATAAATCTAATAATTTAGATTGTTATCAAGACTATAATGATAATTTTGATGAGAAGGAGACAGTGTCTTTAAATAAATATGTAAATTATATTAATAAGAATAATTCCCTAATAGATAACGAATTGGAAAAAGATGTCAATGAGAAGAACAATAATGTTGACCTATTAATTAATGGTGATTAATTATTTAGATAGAATATTAAAAAATAATATACATACACTTATAAAATATGAAAATATGAAAATATAAATATATATATATATATATATATATATATATATATATATATATATATATATATATATATATATATATATATATATATTTATTTGTTTTAGATTTTCCTAGGGCAGGTATAATTTATCCAACATCAGATTTATTATAGATTTTGGTTTTTTTAAAAAAGAAGTAATTTTTTTAATAATAAAAAATAAATTTATAAAACAATTATAGCATGAAAAATTAAACATAAATTATGCTTTATTAATGTTATAAAATTACTACTCTTTATTTAATTAAAAAAAATTAATTACATTGAAATTCCATATTTTTTTTTCAAAAAATTTTTTTTGTGTAGTTTTATATTTATATATTACAAAACCATTTAATTATTATAATTTTTTTTTTTTTTTTTTTCACTATTTTTTTAAAATAAAACATATAACAAAAAAAAAATTTTAAATATATTTTTTCTTTTTTTTATTGCAATATACGCTGAATTATTAATTTGTCCAAAATTATAAAAATTAAAAAATAGTGGAATTGCATTGGAATATGTAAATTATAAAATAAATAAAAAAATAAAGAATAAAATAAAAAAACTATATTTTCAAAAAAAAGGAGGGTATTCTCTTTGGAAGAAATGAAAATAAAATGGAGATTTATGAAAAGTGTTTATTGATTTCTTCTAAATCATCCTTTAGGTAGTCATCGCTCCATCTTTCATTCTAAACAAAAAAAAAAAAAAAAAAAGTAAAAATCATATATAAATGAGAGGAAAAAACAAGAATACCTAATTGATAAACGAAAAATAAGCATGAAAAAATAAAAAATATTTATAATTTATTATAAATTCATATTAATATATTTGATTTTACTTGTTTAGCAAAGAAGAGCTTGTCATATGGTGTTTTATTATGAATATTATAATTTTGATTATATTTTTCCAGTACGCTTAAGCTTGAAAAGCTTATATCAGGTCTGTCATAAACTAAAAATTCGTAATTATTTTTATAATAAATAAAATAATGAATTATATCTTTTTTTATTTCGAAAATGTTGCTGTTCAAATAACTACAGTTAAAAGAATAGTTAGTATCTTTAACTAAATAAGATGTAATTCCATTCAGAATATCAGGACATGAAATAAAATTTAAAAAAGTATTGGTTTCTAAATTTATAGCTTTATTAAAAAGTTCTCTGTCTATTGTATATTTCAATTCATTCATACTTACTTCCTCTTTTGTTCTTGGTATTTTATAGCTATTTTTTATCATCTCTTTCCATAAATTTTTATTTACTTGACACTTTTTTAATAATTCAATTTTATAATTTCTTAAAATATTTAAAATTTCGAAAGTTATATGGGTAGCCAATGGAGGTAAAAAGTATATTTTTTCATACGTTTCTTCAGCCCATTTTCTTACTTTTTTATCTTCGCTTTTTCTTGATTTATCTAACTTTTTCATTATGTATATTAAATTATCATGTTTAAAATGTTCATGAATTATTTCTTCATAATTTTTTAATGTATATACTTGAGGAGCTTTTAAAAAATGCTCTTCTAATAAGATATTTGCATCTTGTTCAGAAACTTCTAATTGACTCTCAGACGTTATTTCAAACATTTCTAAACTATCTTCTGATAACCACCTTTTTGTTAAACCACACCAAATTAAATCCGAGGATTTAATTTCCTGACCTGTTAAGGCTAAATAAAACCCTAAGGATCCTCTTAAATTTGCAAGAATGTATGAAATTCCACCATATGGTAAGAAAGAGTACTTTAAATTGTTGTATGAATAAAATGAATGAAAATAAGAAGAACTGTTATTTGATAAGAATGATAAAAATCCAGAAGATCCTTTTATTTTCCCATTACAATAAGAAATTAAGGGTTTTTTATAGGAAAATATTAAATAAGCCAAGTCATTTATATTTTGTAAAATTTTTTTAAACAACTCTGCATATTTTGTGTCTTTCGTTTTTTGATATATTTCCAGTATTTTTAATAAATCATATAAATTATAACCATAATTAAATATATTGTTGTATAGTGATGTTAAAAATATGAATCTTTTTGTATAATTAACTTCACTATCTCTTAATTCTTTATATAATTTATTAATTAATTTTATGTGCATATATTTATTATTTATTATAATTGTGTTCATTCCTACATTGCTACGATTATACACACAGTCATCCATTCTAGCACTATTTAAATAATTTGTTTTAGATAATTCTTCATTGTGAATTTCTAATGGATCTAAATAAATATCATCATCTTTAAATATACTTGTTCTTAAATATTTTTTAAATGTGCAATTAAACTCTTTTAATATTATTGCATTACTTAGTTTTTTATTTTTGAATATATATTTTAAATTATCTAACATTTTGAATTTTTTATCATTAGAACTAAAATATTTCCTTTACATATTTTAACAAACTCTTATCAAATTAATACCATCATATTTTAATAATTTTATTTCCTCTTTTTTTTTTTTTTTTTTTTTTTTTTTTATATATATCATTTTTATTTTAATTTAGAAATTTTTTTTTTTTTTTTATATTATAACATTTTTATAAACCTTTTAAAATAACTTTTCTTCTTAACAAAAAAATATTTATAAATATCATAATTTATTATTATTATTATTTTTTTTTTTTTATAAATACATGAATTATTAATATAAATGTTAATAAAAAAATTTTCTTTCTTTTATATTAAAAAATTATATATTTGTGTAAAATTTTAATTGTTCTGTAAGGATGTTTTAATTAACATCCTTTTTTTTTAAAATATTTAGGATAATTCATATAGTTTATTTATAGTATCCCTTGATTATTTTTTACAATGGTTCTTTTTTTTTAAGAATTAAAATATAAAACGCAAAATTAAAAAACTAACATCAACAATTGAAGTTGTTACATAGAGTTTTTAGCCTAATTTATTTTTTTTTAGTATAATTATAATCCCCTTATAATTTTTTTTTCTTATAGTATACATATATAACATTGTTATTAAAAAGTGATTTTCTTGAAGGAAATTGAATATTTTACAATACTCATTAAAGAATAAAAGAAAGGCTTTTATAGAATTTACATTTAAGACTTCTATATTTAGATAAAGGATAAAATGTGTAGAAAAAAAATATATGTTTCTTTATTTTTCTTAAAAAAAAAAATACATGAGTAAAAAAAATACTACTAAAATATAGCAAAAGAGGAAGTTTTTAAGATATTTTTAACTATATCATTTAAGGTATATGCAAATGGGTGCATTATTTTTATTTTATTTTACTTTATTTTTATTAAATTCAAGGTTTTAGATAAAAACTTTTTATTAAATGTTCTTTCAATACTCCATAAAAAATTAATAGTTCTTTCTAATTTTTCTATTTTTTGATTATCTAATTTTTTTTTATTTTATAAATACAATATTACAATTTCATATTAAGGGTTATAGGATTTTATTTATAAATATATTAATAGATAGACAAATTTTCTTTTGTTTTACATGTTTAGTAGTTTTTTTTAAATGCATACAAATATTATTTAATGAACTATAAACATGGTTAATAATTCTTACTTAAGAAAAAAAATATAATTTTTAAGATTAATTGTCTATCTATCTGTATATCCATCTATATATACATATATATATATATGTATATATTTAAAAATTAAAATAAAATTCAAATCTCCATTTTTTTTGTACAAAAAATTTAATTAAAAATGAGAAATATTAATATTTTTTTATTACTTTTATATTATTTAATTGTATTAAAATCTGTAGATAATTTAAGAGTAAGTAGTGCAGAATTCAACACTATTGAAGCAGAAAAAGAAAATATAAATGACAAAAATAATGATTCTATAGGAAATCGAAGAGAAGCTATAAATAGAGATACAGAAACTACGAATATGAGTAAAAATGAAAATACTGAAAATAAAAGTGAAAATGCTAATGAAACTAATAAAGATACAGATAATATATCAAAGAATGAAGATAAAATGAAAATAGAAAATATAACAAAAGATGATCATGAAACATCGAAGAGTGATGCAAATAAAAATGAAGAAACAAAAAATTTTGAAAATTCTAATGAAAAAAATATAAAAAGTTTAGATAATTTTGCTTCAACTAAAAGTAAGCCAAATTTACAACACAAAAATAATGCTAGTTTAAAAAACATAGTTATACTTGATGAAGCTTTTAATAGTGCAAAAAAAGTTTGCGAATTTGTTGTAATTAAAAATGAACATTTTAAAAATTTTTGTCAGATGACTAACTTATATGAGCAAGCAGAAAAATTAAAAAAAAATGATAATGAATTATATCAACAAGTTATAAGTAACTCTTATGAAAATGAAGGCTCATCAAGTTTTCAGTTATTGAAAGAAGATGATGATAGCAAACTTTTCAAGGAAAAAGATAACCATGATCCTAGATTATCAATTTTATTTATGTATGAAAAATTTTGTGTAGGAGGTGTTCCATTAGCATGTAGTAATATATTAAAATACGATAATATTTTTGAAGTTAATGAAAGAAGCGAAACAAATGAAACCAAACAAGACGAACAAGATGAAAATAAAATGATACATGATATTGAAGGAGATGGTAGTTCAGTTGATGAAAAAACAGGAACACAGGAGAATATTTCTGATTTAACTGATAATAGTAATGAAAGTATCTAATTATACAATTCACTGAATATGTCAGTTTTAAAAAAATTATAAAACAAAAAAAAAAATTTGAAATAGAAATTATTGCAAATTAATACTTTTACATAAGCCAAAACATATTTTATTTAAATCATAATGTAATTTGAAGTTCAAAATTTTTAAGTTTTCTTTTTTTAATTTTTACTTTAATCTTTAGAATTTTAATTTTAAATATTAAATAAATTATTATATATATAAATTAATTTTTAAAAGTAAAAATAAAAAAAAAAAATAAAATAAAAAAAAGACTAAGAGTAAATCTAAAAATACAAAATATATTAAAAATTAAGTTGATATAAAAAATAAAATAATCCACATATTATTTAATTTTGTAGGGTAAATTAAAAAAAAATTATTATAATACAATGTATAATAAATAATTAACAAATAAATTTATAAAATAAAAGACACATATTTTTATAATTACATAGGTGAAATAATAAATAAATTATTAAAAAAAAAAATGTATCATTTTGATAAAATAAAAGTAAAAAAGAAAAAAAAATTATAAATTTGAAATATCATTAAAGAAAATTATAATTTATGCGTGATACTTTTTTTTTATTCTTTTCTGTTAATAAATTTGCAAAATTGAATTAATATGTGGAAAAATTTTATGTGAAATAAGTAACGTTTTACAAAATAGAGTAAAAAGGATAAAAATAAAAGTATATTTTTGACGTAAAAAAAAAAAAAAAAAATAGCATATATTGCATTAATATTTACAGAAAAATTCAATTAATATTAGTAATTTAATATTTATATTTTTAATAAACATGATAATTTTCAATATACATAATTATATATATATATATAAATGTAAGCGTATATATTTAAGAATGTTTTACACGGAAATTATTAGCATACGAATAAATATTATTATGCTAAAAATTATAACTTTTTTTTTTTTTTTTTGGTTACCAATCAATTCTTAATGACGATACTTGTTTTTGTAAATTATCTACATCCTTTTTTATTTTTGCTCTTCTGTAAAAAATAGGGCAATCTCTATTCATACATATAACATCAACATGCAAATTACCTTGACAACGTTGACATTCTGACCACAACTGAAAGAATTCGTTTTGTTTATTTTTAAATTCTTTAATTTTTTGCATATAAATTGAAAATTCTTTATTAGATTTACAATGATTGCACAATGGTGGTTTTTTAATTGAACTATTACACCCAATACATCTAATTGATTTTTGTAAGAATTTTGATAATGCTGTTTGGCTTGATGTTAAAATTGTTTTATGTCTAGTATGTTCTCCACAAAATAAGGAATCTGAATTTTGCATTATAACTTCAAATATCCTAGATAAGGTATTTTTAATAGAATCAAGATAATGCTGGTAATCAATAGATAAGTTATTATCTAAAACATATAACGGGTCTTCAGCTCTTTCATATTGTGCTTGCCCTTTAGACCCTTTTACAATTATATAACTAACTCTGTCACCTACATTTGGTGCAGTGGCACTATCTCTTTGTTTTAATTTTTTTGCTAATTCAACGTGAGGCAATCTTGTTTCGTAATCTGTTTTCCCTAAAGATTTCGTTACAACTAATAAGCTCATATCAATGTTATTTGTTAACAATTCTTTAATTTTACTTTTAGTGTACTCAATAGCACTATTTAAGTTTTTCTCTATTAATAATTTATTTAGGACTGTTTCCATCATTTGCTGAATTAAAATACAAAAGTCTCTTCTAACAGTTTCAATACCTTTACAATCCATTTTGTCATGTTTTAACGGGTTAGTGTATAATAACCCTGCGTACCTTTTTTTATTTAAGAGTAAATATGGACAATATACTTTTTCAAATTCTAATTTAATTGGTGGCAAAAATTCTTTACTAATTCTTTCAGCTGCATCTTTTCCTAATCTCATTGCCTCTTCAATGTTATTAGTTCCGAATTTGACCATTACTGAATCTGTGTCTCCATAGATAACGGTGGAATTATATTCAAATCCATTGTTTTTATTATAATAATTTTCAACTCTCTCTTTAGTTTTTTCTATCATACATCTTCCTAAGGTTGTGATAGAAACAGCAACTTCAAGACAAGGTAATTGACCTCCTGAAGAGGCACCTGTATAACCATATACTGAGTTCGCTGAAATTTTTAGAGCTAACTGTCTTCCATTAAGAACCATTTGTGTGATTCTATTTTCTTCTTTTTTCATAAGTAATTTTACTTTTTTTCTTGCTTCTATTAATTCTTCTACAATTAATGGCAAGATACCTTTTTTGACGTTTTTTTTTACAAACTTTAAATTACCTTTTCCTTGAATAACAGTAATATCATCATCATTTAATTCAGATATTTCATTATTATTTTTGATTAAAGTAGAATAACACAAATTGTGTGCAATCATAATGGATGGATACAACGAGGCGAAATCTAGTGTAGATATTGGTTCAATGTAATAACCTTTTATTGGTTCTAATACTGTAGCACCTTCATATTTTTCATTAGTATTAACTTTAATATATGTACTTGGAATCACATAATTTAATTCTTTACATTTTCTGTATAACTGTGATGTAACTTTAATTTGTTGTCCTCGAGTTAATAAGTAAACAAAAGGAGTACCTGTAACCCTAGCCATTTCAACATAATTATAAATAAATAATAACTTATCAATTAATCTTAAAGGTAATACACCATCCTTAATACAATATGTTGCAATCCTTTTTCTTGATTCTGGACTTTCACGTTGCAAATCATTCATTATACTATAGTGTACATCTTCTTTTTGTTCTTTTAAAAATTCAAAAGAAACATAATTCAATGTATACGATTTCAATTTATAATCTCTTTTTATTAAATCATACACATCAAATTGTATTCTTCCAGTTATATTAATTTCTTTGGTTTCATGCATTCCGAATTGTTTAGAAGAAAAACTAGAATCTTTAACACTGCTACTAATATTTTTTATCCTTCCAAGGTACTTCAATTTTTTTAAATTTAATGCTGTTCCCCTATTTAAAATATATGGCAAATCAAAATTAATAATATTGTATCCAGTGAGAAAATCGGGATCTAAGCGAACTAAAAATTCATTCCATGCATTTAACAAAGATTTTTCGTCGTTAAACCATATAACATTTGAACCGGGTATACTAGCACATTCTTGAAGTGTAAAAATAAATTTTATAGAATGATCAATCGGATCTCCTTGAAGATATAAAATTGATGAAATTTGAATTATTGGATCATTTTGTGCATCTGGAAATCCTTTTCCATCAAGTTTTATACATTCAATATCAAAAGATAAGATTCTTAATTTAGGTATTTGCTGATATTCATTTTCTATAAGAAGAGGTTCTATACTTTCATAACTTGCATCTATTTCAAAAGTGCAGTTAGATATCTTTCTATTTTTACTTCTAATATAATAATTATTTTTTTTACATTTTATCCAAGATGCCCCAGTTATTTTATTATCAATTATATATCTTAATATAAATGGTAAGTTAGCTTCATAAACTATTCCCCCTATTTCTTTATTATTTACGTTTATAATTCCTTCTAAATATTTTTTTAGAGTTGGAACCATTTTCGGTATTAAAACTGTTATCTTTAAGAAATCTCTTTTTCCATTTCTCTTATAATACATCAAACTTTCAGTTTTAACAATTTCAATTTTTAATATTTTTTTATCATAATTTTTATATTGATTATTTTGATTTAAATGATCGTTTAGTAGAATTTCTAATTTCATTATATCATCATTTTCAAAATTTTCAGGTTTTTCTATATAAAAATAAGGAAAAACATTGTGAATATTAATTAGTACACTACAACCATCATTTGTCACAGCAAAAATTCTAATAAGAGGAACAGTTACATAATTTTTATCTTTACTAATTAAAGCTTTATATGGCTCATAAATATTATTTAATACATTATTATTTGAATCATTTTCATTATAAAACATATTCTTAAATATATTTTCTACTGTGTAATCCAAATCTATTTGAAATACAATTAAGTCTTCCTCATTATTAATTTTTAATATCCCATTTTCATCATAAATGTTTGGTCTTTCATAAGTTTTCAATAATTTATCAAACTCTTCAATTATGTAATTTTCTGATATTTCATTATTTTTCTCTTTTTTAGCTTTATCATATAATAAACCATAAGGAATGACATTCGTAAATGGACATTCTTTCATTTCTTTCATTTTTTTATTATATCATTAGTAAACAATAAATAAAACAAATAAACACGTATATATATATATCTATTTATTGTAATTGTAAAATAAAAAAATAAAAAAATATAAATATATATTTATAAAAATAGAAAATACACATATTATGTAGATATGATAAATATTTTCACATATCTTTAACAAAGAATAAAAGACTAATAGTAATGTTTTTTTATTTGTAACAACACATATACTAATCTTTTTCTGGAAGTTAATTTTAAAAAACTTATATCTCTATTACAATAAAAATCAATAAAATTTATAAGATATTTACTTTTTTAAAGAATAATATTAAGCATTGAGTATATTGTATAATTTACAAAAAATGTTAATGAATATATATATATATAAAAAAAAAAAAAAAAAAAAAAAAAAAAAAAAAAAAAAAAAAAAAAAAACAGAAAAATATACAAATATTTTAAAAACTTTTTCACATAAATTTCGGATTTTATTTTCATTGTAAATATATTTCTTTTCAATTTTTACATTTTAAATTCATTTCAATATTAAACTATTTAAATAAATAACAAAAAAATATTTTAAAATTAATGTATGAAAGTGAAATTTAAATAAAATAAGAGTTTTTAAATTAACTATTTTTTTTTTTTTTTTTTTTTTCATTTCTTGTTTTTTATTTTATATTTTTAATTATATATATATATATCTATACAGTTATATTGTTTCTAAAAAAACATATTAAATAATCAAAAAAATTAAATTTTTAAATTTAGAAAACACCTTAGGTACATAATATTACAAAATTAATTTAAGCAAAATTATAATGTGTCATTCAAATTAAAAAGTTATATTAGTCTAAAAAAAAAAAAAAAAAAGAATAAAGTATTTAAAATATAACTTATAAAAAATTGGCATTTCTTTGAAGTATAAAAATATTTAATTAGAAACTTAAATTTTTATATGTTTTAAGATAAAATATATAGAGCATATATATTAATAGACGTAAGTGAAATTTTTTCCTTTTATCTTTTTAGGAAGTTAATTTAGAATCTTATATTTTATGAGTATATATTGTAAGAAAAAAGCATAAGAAAAAAATTAGAAATGTGTAAATATGCATGTCTTAATTATTATATTTAAGTATGATGAATATATTCATAAGTAAAAACCGAAATAAAATTAAGAAAATGTTACCGTTTTATGTAAAATATTTCTTATAAAAAAAAAAAAAAAAAATATTAACTTATAAATGACTATTGTAACAGTTATAAATTTTTATTTGAACTTTTATTGATCTTTATATTTTTTTTTTTAAAGAATAAAATTCTTAGAAATAATTAACATTCATTAAATAAGGAATACAAAAAATTATTAAAATATTTTATAAGGATATTTTATTTGTAATATTAACATAGGATATTTTATATTAGACTTTAAGAAAATTTTTTAGTAAAATTCAAAAAACAGAATTTTATTTAATTTTTTTTCATTTCATTTCTTATCATTACTTTTTTCTTTTACAATGTTAATTATATATATATATATGAAAATTATCCTTTGTTTTTTTTAAAATATAGGAAAATATAAAATTTTTTTGTTTTTTATTTTATAAAATATCTGTCTAATTTATCGAATATATATTCTAACAAATTTAAAGCAAAAAGTCAAATACAATATAAAATAAAAAGTAAAATATTTTCATATATATATTAAATATAGTTGTCTCTTTAATATTATTAGTCTTATTTTTATTTAAATTAAATGAATAAGAAAGAAATATTTTATTACACATAAAATTTATATATTTCTTTTATGCTTCTTATAACAAAAATATAAGTATACATCTGTATTAAAGGATTTTTATTTTTCATTGAAGCAAATTCCTTCTGACAACAATTTTTAAATAAAAATGAGTAAATAAAAATGAGTAAATAAAAATAAGTAAATAAAATATATAATCCTATTTATTTTACAAAATTATTCATGTGATATAAGATTTTTCTTTTTTTTTTTTTATAATAAATATGATTAAAAAAAAAAAAATAAAAGATTATTTTGAAAAATATTTTATTGAAGTATATTACTATATAAAAACTATTAATAGGTTACCTAATTTTTCATATTTAATAATGGGATATATAAAGGTCTCTATTATGTACTTTTATAAATAAAGTAACACTATGAGTTTAATAATTTATAAAAATGAGGAAGTTTATAAAAAAAAAAAAAAAAAAAAAAAAAAAAAAAACAAAGAGTTTAATATACCTAGTTCATATATATTAATTTTATATTTAATATTAATTATAGTTCTTCATTTTAATAAAAAAATATTAATAAATGGTTGAAAAGGTAAATAGCAACATTAATTATATAATTTTACACTTTCTTTAATATAAATGATACAATAATATACTAAAGTATATTATACTATTTATCATTTTTAATGTTAGAAAGTTAAAAGAAAAATAATATAAAAATAAGTTAAACAGAATAACGCACGCTATATATTTAAACATTGGAACAGTAATATTAAAATATGAATAATATCCTTTATAAATAGATAATTTTTTTTTTATATTAATATTTTATTTTTAGTATCTTTATGAAACTTACCTTCAAAAAGAGAAAAAATCAATCTAATAAACAGAAATTTCCTAAATATAGTATTGTATACTATTTTTATATTTTATGTATTGTTATTATAAAAAAAAATTAACTATATTTATTTATTTTTTTTTTTAAAAAAAGTAAAAATTAAGATTTTTCATTTTAAAAAGATAGAAACATATTTTTTTTTTTAAATATATTTATTATAAATGATTAATTAAAAATTATACATAAAAAAAAAGGTGTTACATGATTATTGTTAGAAAAGGAACTGATTTTATTTTTTTATAATTTTTCATAAAATAAAAAAAAAAAAAAAAAAATAATTTCAATATAAATAATTTTTGTTATGTATTATGTATTATGAAGATGTGTAGTTTTATAAGGTTGTATATTATTTGCAGTTAACATATTTTAAAATTGTCTCCTAATTAATACTTTTATACAATTTTTGTGCATTTATATTTCGCTTTATTTTATTAAATAATAAATCAGTAAAATTAGTTTTAATTTTTTATATCGTTTTTGTTAATATGTCACTATATTTGTTATTATTTACATAATAATATTCATTGTTTACATATATAAGAAAAATTATATAATTTTAGTAGACAAAGTATAAAAGATATAATTATATATTGTAGTAGTATCTTTTTATATGAGCTATTGTAGAAAAAAAAAAATTCTATAGTATCGAATGAGTTTTTTTTTTTATGTGTTTTTGCACATTAATTATTAATAATAAATAATAAAAAAACACATAAAATGTCGGATATATATTAAATTTATTTAACAGTTAAATGAACAGAATATTTTATGAAATTAAATAATTTAGTACAACATTTATTTTGATGTCTTACAAAAAGAATATTTGTTAACACATTTATCATGCATGAACTTTCTATTATGCAACATTATTAGTGCAATTTTTTTACAATTTTTATAATTTTTTTATTTATTTATTATTATTTTTTTTTTATTTATTATTTATTTTTTTCTTCATTACATAAGTTATTTATAATTAAAATTAATAAAAAAAAAATAAACATAATGTTTGACTATTTCCTTCATTTGAATTCATAAATACTTATCAATTAAAATAAGCGAGAATTTAATATTTAAAATGGAATATTTCTTATATATTAATAATTCTTTCAAATAAATCTAAAATACTATTAAAAGTTTTTAAATGAAAATACACATATGAAATATTTTTTAAACATTAATATATAAAAGGGATATTATATTTATTTATTTTATATATTAAAATGAGATACTTAATAATTTTTTTTTTTTATGTACTATTAATTTTCATTTTATTAGGTTTTAATTTATCTTTCGCAAGTTTTATTTCTTTTCAAAATTTAAGTTCATTGAAAGAACTTGACTCAAAATTAGAAAATTATAAAAAAAAGAAAAAACTATTATTATCATTTACAGATATAGCATTAGCATTTTCACTAGGAACACTAATTAGTGGATTACTATATTTAACCTTAAGATTTTCAAATAAGAAAAAAAAATCATTGAATAAAATATCTACAAGGAATATTTTAAAATGGTTAACAAATGAAGGATATAAAGGAAATGATACATATGAAAATGATACATATGAAAATGATACATATGAAGATGAAACATATGAAAATGAGATAAATGATAATGAGATAAATGATAATGAAGAAAATATAAGACATTCTATGCTAATAGGTGATTCTGATACATGTGAGAAAAAATCACATGATGAAAGTAAACCTTGTTATATATCTTGTTGTGAGATTTTAAAGTTCAGGGATATATCATTGGGTAATATTAAAATAGATCCCACAGAATCAAAAACAGATGAAAAATAAATTCTGGATATATGAAAAATATTTAAAAGAAGAAATTCAAGATATAATTGTTGCAAAATCTTTACTAAATCATTAAATGAACAAATTATTAATACCTAAACATACATAATTAGAAAAATTGGGCATAAAAGTAAACTAATATCTGAAAAAAAAATTATTACCTATATAAGGGATTTAACTATATAATAAGATTATAATGGTAATAAATGATATATTTAGTGTAGAAACTTTTTTATATTTCAAAGATTCGTATATTGAACAAAGTAATTATACATTAATAGAAAAAATGCAATTTATATATATTTAGCTTAAAATATAAAACTTAATGAGATATTTATATATTTTTTTTTTTTTTTCGTATTCAAATATCATATATATATATATATATATATATAATAGAAAAAAATATTTATTAAATTAAGATTTAACCATATGAAATTATATGTTAGATATTTATGATAAATAGGTTATTATTAGATCCTTTTATATTTTTTTAAAACATAAAATTCTATACAAATTTTTTATATTATTTTGCGTATATTTTATTTTTCAAATGCAGAAAATTCTAAGAATTATAATGGTTGTTACGTGCATAAATCTGAAAATTCTAAAAAATAACTTACAATAAAAGTTTATTTCTGACATTTCTAAAGAATTTATTTTAGATTCTTTCGTACTAATATATTATACAGTAAACCAATTTATAAGATTTAATTATACTTTTATAAAATTGAAATAATAAGAAAAAATAAAAAAAAAAAATGCAATTATACATAAAATTGAATTAATCTTTCTTATTTTTATAATAAATAACTACCTAATCAATATATATTTTAATATGTACTTATTTTTTTTTGCAACTCTAAGTTTTATAAATATTTAATAAGTAATAAATATATTATAAAAAAAAAAAATATTAATAATTTTATTTGAAATTTTAAAAATTTAACTTTATTTTTTTTTTTTTTTTTCTACATCTTTACAGAAATTATTTGTATTGATAATAAATCTAATATAATGTTATAAAAAAAAAAAAATAAGTTGAATTTATTATAGAAAGTTGTGAAATGGGAATAATAATAAATTTAAAATATAGTTATTTTTAATATATGAGTACAAAAAATTATTAATAAGAATATCTAAAGAATATATTATTAGAAAATAAATAAGTTAATTGTAATATCTTTTACGATTAAAATTATAAATAGTTGGACAGAGATAATTTTTTTTTTTTTTTTTTTATATATATCTTAAGAATAAAGATTAGTAAAATAAATATTAAAGGACCATGCATGCGTTATCTAATGAATTTTATAACAAATTTAGTATTTTTAATTTTCATATAATAAATTAAATTAATTTTTTTTAAGCTGTAGAAAAATTTAATGATATATTAATAATTAAAAAAAAAATAGAAAATGTTATATTAGAAATATAATTTGAAGAAAAAATTAGAAAAATTATATTAAGAAAGAATAATAAATTTAGAAAAATTTTAAATTGAAAGTTAATTATTTTACTATTTTCTTTTCTAATAAAAGATCTTTTATTATTTACCTTTTTATAAAAAAATTTAATATTTTTTATATGTAAAATGAAACTTAAAAAAATATTAATTATTTTTAATTTTTTGTTATTAATTAATTTAATATCACAGTGCTTATGTATTCATGACTTAAGCAAAGGGGATAACACAGATTCATTGAAAAAAATTAGGAAAGAATTAGAAAAAAAAAAAAAGCATAAAATAATTTTGGGTAGTGTTTTAGGAGGATTAGCACTAGCATTATCTATAGGACTTGGAGTAGCATTTAGTGGAAAAAAGAAACATAGAAATAAAAGCTATGGTGATAGTCCTGATAATGAATTTAGTAAAAAAGGTGAATTTAGTAAAGAAGATGATTTTAGTAAAGAAAGTGAATCAAAGGAAAGGAATGATAATTCTTATTTTAACCTAACACCAAATAAGAAACCATATGATTATTATAACTTTAATTATGACGTTGAAACGGGATTAAATGAATTTTTTGATGAATCTCTTGCAGGAGATATTCCCAACAAAACTTATGAGGAAATGAGGAGTTTTACATTTAACGAATTGCAGAACCATTTTAATTATTACGGTCCACAATATGAGCATCTTATACCATATGAATATGAATCTATAGGAGTAAGTATTCGAGATATATTATTACAGAATGGTATAAAAGCTTCTGATGAACAAGTGAAACAATTAGAAAAAGAAGCGCTTTCACTATATCTTAATACAGGTAATTTTGATCCAATTGGTGAATTTTTATATATTGATGAAACCCGACTTTTTTGAAATATTTTTACATTATGAAAAAATATAAAGATTTATATCCGCTTTTCCCTTAATTCTGTATAAATGGAATACAAATATTGAATTAAAATTCATATTTTTCCAAATAAACTTAAAACTTTATTAACTTGTTAAAAAAAATTCATACTATAATTTTTGTTTTAATTATATACCAAAATCATAAGATATTCTTTAGAGATTTTTTTATTGTTTATTAATATATGTATTAAAAAAAAATTTATTATTTTATGAGTATCTTTTTTTTAATTTATAAATGTATGCGATTTTTATTATAGAACTTTTATAAAATTTATGTATATTAATCCGAGTTTTAAGAAGTTAAGATTTTTTTTTTTTTTTTTTTTTTTTTTTTTTGTTTCTCTTAAATTAGTTTTATTTTTAAATATTTTTTTTTTTATAAAAATAAATTAAATCGTTTAAAAATTAACTTTTTCAAATATCAAAAATATAATGATTTTTTGAATTTTTTTTTTTTCGCTATGTCATAAAAATAATTAAGAAATTTTTTTGCATACATATAAAAAAAAAAGTGAAAATGTGTTATAGTATGAATATCTTTATCATTTATTTATTTAAATATGCTTACATAACTGCATTAAAAATATAATTTTATATTTAAAATTATACCTTTTGAAAATGCATGGACTCAAAATTTTCTCAATTTTTACTTAATTATATGATACTAAAAATTAAAAAATCACATAATGGGAAATAATATAAAACTACCTTTTAGTGAATTAATATATTAAATAATTCAAATACAAAAAAAAAAAAAAAAAAAAAAAAATTTTCTGATTTATTTTAAATTTTTAAAGAAAATTGTATTTTTAATTAATATATTAGTATCAAATACTTCAATACAAAAAAAAAAAAAAGACTTTTTATTTATTGTAAGATCATTATTTTAGTATATATTATATTAATATGTAATTTTTTAATAAAATTATATTTTAGTAAATTGGTTTACATAATTTTTTTTGTATCAATATTAAAATTCTGGTTTATTAAAAGATACTACATATGAAAACAATAGTTTTATATTAACAAATTATAACATGACTTTAATAAATATATGTAATATTTATATATAGTTTTTAGAATTTTTATATTAATATATATACGGTATTCTGAAAAAGAATTGTTATCTATGTCTCTCTAAAAAGAAAAATGAGGAAAGTGTTAAATGAGGACGTTTTAAAATTTTTTTTTTTTTTAGTTATCTTTAAGATAAAAAGATAACTTTTACATTAGCAGATCAAATTAAAAATTATTAGATATAAAGATAAATAACATTTTATTATTTAAACCTTAGTTTTTTTATTCCTATACTTTGTATTATTTTTACTAGAGAAAGTATAATATAAATTTAAAATAAAGGTTCTAAACAATTTTTTTTCCCTTACTTTTAGAAACACTTTAATATCACTACACAAAAGGAATAATTAGTATTGCTAGTTTATTTACATAAAATAATGTAACATTTTTATCATTTTCATTTATACAGATATCATTATTTATAATTAGAGTTTATTTGATGAAAATTAAAAAATATAACTAATAAATATAATGTTAAGAATATATCAAACATAGATATATAATAAAATAAAAAGATTTCATATTAATAAAAAAAAAGTAATAATTTAGATAAAAATATTTTAAGTAATAGCTCAACAAGCTTAGAATTCTTTAAACATATGTTAATTGATCTTTTAGAAATCATTGAATTAGTTTGAGTTAATATTTTTAATATAGAATTAATAATTTTAATTACTAATATTGTGCATTTTAACTAAAAATGTTTGATATATTAGAAGAAAAATATAAAATTGTAAGAAGATTTGTTACAAATACATATCTATTAAATCCACTTACAAATAAAAAAAAAAAAAAAATGTTCTTCGAAATGATCTACAGATAGCAAAAACTTATAAATCTTTCCTAATATAGATTGTCATTGACGTTTTTTAATTTTCACTAAGATGAAATATAATATATCTGAAAGCTTAGTTCTTCAAATAGAAAATTTGAAATAATTAATACAATGAAATATGTACTTATAAAAAAAAAAAATATTATATAATTTTTTTAGTATTTTTTCTTTGTAAGTTTTTTTTATTTTTCGAAGTTTATTAATAGTAAATAGGACAAATAATAAAAATTTTTAAGTAAATAATAATTATATGCAAATTTTATAGTGATAAATTTTTGAAGTGTTTGAAAAGCTAAATAGACATTTAACAAAACATTCATTCAAGACCCCTAAATTTAATTTAAAATAATTCATATTATATTTTATAGTGTAGTTTTATAGAAATTATGTAATTATCATTTATAAATAACTTTATTGTAAAAAAAATATATATATATATATCTCAACATCCTCTTAATTTGATTGTTTAATATTCTATAAATGTGTTTGAATGATCAATTAATTAATAACCATCCTAGATATATATATTGGTAATTAAATAACATGATAACTTTTTTTATAATTTTCATAAGAACTGCAATATAGGAAGAAAAGATAGAATAAATAAGAACATGAAGTATTTTGTAATATTTTTTCAATATTTATAATATGAATTTAAACTTAAGGGTATTACATAATATTAAAATAAGAATAAAAGGAAATTGTATTTGTAATAAATTTCTTTTCTCTATGTAGGTATTATAGTTAATTAAAAAGAATAATTTACTCTTAAATTTCTCTGGATTGAATATATGTTATTAAAGTAATATACATTAATTTTTAAAAGGATATTTTTATTTATAAATGTCACCAAAATTGGTTATTTTTCAAAAATTTACACTTGTTATGTTAGGGATAAACTGTATCATTATTTTTTTTTTTTTTTACTAAAAGAAAATATATTAAAAATTTCTGAGTATGCTAAACTTTTTAATTAAAAGGGGAAACAATAATGTAAAAATATTTTATGATTTTTAGTAAAGATAATGTAGAATATAGGAAGAATGAGAAACTTTTAAAAATATTATTTTTTAATTATCTCTAAATATTTTTACAATCCTTTATTAAAAGAGAAGAATAATATTTTAAAATAATGTAATACAACTTTAGAAAATTTTAATTTATACATCACTAATATATATGAGATTGATATTAATATATTAATTTATTAGATGTTTGCTCAAAAACTTCTGTAAATATAAAAAAAAAAAATTAATAAGGAAAATGTATAGAAATTTTAATGTTGTTTGTTATGATAATTCATATTTTTTTTTGATGAATTTATAGACACATATTCTTTAAGTACTTATTTAAAAATGTGAAAATTTGAGCATGTAATACTTACATAACATATAGGTAACAATGGAAATATAATTATATTGCCCTTAATAGAAATATATTTTCTCTTAATATTTTTATTCTTTCTCTTAAAATATGTTACATTTTATACTCAATACTTACGTAACATATAGTTAGCTTTTTATGAAAATATTTAATATAGATACTTTAATAAAAAATTTTTTTTTTTTTTTATTTTTTTTCTTATGGTATGTACGATAAGAAAAAAGAATATAAATTTGTATAAATAGCGAATTATATTATATATAAAAAAAATTATTTAAATGAACTATACATAATAAATAAAGATATTTCCCAAAAAAAAATATATATATATATATTGTTAATGTAAAATTACAAAAAAAAAGAAGAAAATTTATTTACCGGATTTGCATTTATGTATATATTATTTTTTTTCATTTTTTTTAACAAAAATCTATTTGTGCAACATATAAAAACGAAATAGAGAAATAAAAGATTAACTAAATAGACAGTTTATGTTTTTTCATATAACTGTATTCTTAATAATGATAAAAAATATTATGGAGAAAATAAAATAAAATTATATTTGACCTATTTATATATTTATAACAAGAGATAAAATTTTGTAATAATTATAAAAGTATTAAGTTGTTTAATTTTTTGTATTAACGTAATATTCTAAAGACTCAATAAAAAAGATCAATGAGAAATTAAATCTAATATACTTATTAACATATAATTTTTATTTTTTATAAATGATATTTTAAAACCTTCATATAAAAAATCAATAATATCTATATAGTTATATATAAAAGCAATTTAAATTAGATAATATTTGTAAGAATTTTTTTTTTTTTTTTGAATATATAAAATTTAAAAAACAATAACATGAATTATGTTAAAACTGGTTATGAAATTAAATAAAATATTGTTTTTTCATTTTTTATGGTTAAAAAGAAGTAAATTAGCTAATTTTTATTTTCCTTCATTTTAAATAATATTATAAATTACCTTTTTTCTGAAAATTTTAATGTAAATACTTTTTGTATCCCAAAAGAAACTCATAAATTTATCAACAAAAGTTTACGTAACTTATTTTGGATATTTTAATAAAAAATGTATGTTATTTAAAAATATATATATATATATTTTGTAAAATATAATACAGTTATTTTATAATAATAATGATAATAATAAGAAGAAAAGAGTGTTCCACTTTTTAAATAAAGTAATAACCTTAGTTCTCTAGAAAAATTTTTCTTTTTTTTGCAAAAAATTAAGAAAGACTGAATTATAATATACATATATATAATTGCAATTTTTATGAAATAAAAAGAAAAATATTCTTTGTTATGGTAAAAAAATTTAAAATAAAAACAAATTAATATATCTAAACTTTGATTAATTTACTTTTTTTAATAACTATATAATTTATATTTTTCGTTAAGTTTAAGAATAAATAAGATAATGAAAAACTAATAGTATAAAAAGTAGTAGAAATTTAGGATAACATATACATTATTTGAAAAGATTCTTTATTAATTCCATATCATCCTTTTATTTGCATTTATATTACATATGTTAAAGGACGTTTTTTTGAAATTATTTATATTATTTCTTGAATTAATATATAATATTTTTTATTAAACTTTTTTTACTTTTTTCTGGGTTTTTGCATAAAGAACATATTTATCATCTAAAAACTTTTTTTTTTCTTATATTAAATGGATATATATAACAGTTGACAAAACTTTAATATTTTACTTTCCTTGAAAGAGGATAATACATTTCCATTGAATGCAGATTTCTATTTCACTTGTACATTTATATTTATGACTTCTTTTGAAATATTTTAAGCATATTAAATATTTCTAAGTATATATTTTTACTTTTTCTTTGTTTTCTTAATAATAGTCTCCCATGAGAAGAGTTTCAAAATTATGCATAACATTATCTTCATATGAACAGCCATTGTCTATATATATAGTAGCATATATAAATTTGTGTATAATAAATTAGTTTTTTGGTAAATTTTATAATATTAAGTACATGGAGTTTAGAAGATACATCACTTATATATAAAAAACATACTCATCTGAAATTTTATATAAATAAAAATCGTAATTTTTTTTAAATTATATAAGTGAGTGGATAAAAATTTGCGTTATCATTTCTACACGGTATATACTAAAATATTTGAATAAGTATTATTTTTATGTGAATGATTTATTAATTGACCTTTTAATGAATTTTATAGTGACTTGAATAGTCAAATTAGCAAAGATTATTTAGTATGATCTTTGTTTATTTTACTTGTTATAATATTAATTATTAAAAATAATAATCAATGAATTATAAATTAGTATATTTAATTGGACACAAAATTTATTTTTAATTTTAAAAATAAATATTAATTATATATGTACAATTTTTAATAATTAATCACCTCTATTTTCTAATATATTTTAAACTTGAATAAACATATATGCTAAATAATTAATATTATAAATAGCTTTATAGTACTTTTCTATATGTCACCATATATGTTATACAGAATTCAGATAATTTTCTTTCTTATACCAAAAAAAAGAAAAAAAAAAAAAAAAAATATAAAGTAAAATAATTTTTTTAAGAAATAATAAAAAAAAAAAAAATAAAAAGATTTATAATTGACGTACAAAAAAATGTAATTTGATTTATGTATTTTTAGTACACTCATTTAAAATAAGTACAATATAGTATATGCGTTTTAATATGTTTGTTTTACTCACCTACGGTAAACATATAAGTAAGACATTATACAATATATATTTTTTATTTCTCTATGAAATTAAAAATAAGTTGATAATACTATATATTGATCTATTTCATAGGTTTTCCTTGTGTCTCAATAGAAACATTGTATTTATTTTGAACTATTTTTATCACAATTTTTCAAAGTAATGAGTATACTTTTAATAATTTTCTTAATATGTCCTTATATTCCTGAGATGTTAAATCATTTTAATAAATAGAATTTGAAATAATTGCTTGATTAGCTATTTCTGAATTCTTATCTTCATTATATTTAACTTTCATAATATATACATAATCTTCATTATTTCATATAATAGAATATCTTAAATGGTTCATTACTATATCACTAATTATAAGTAGTTTTTTATATATTTAATATAGCTAGCCTTGTCTTAGCTTTTTTATTAGTAAATTTCAAACTAAGTAAATCACTTTTAGACATTCATTCTTTATCTTCATTAGATATTTCACAAGTCTTGGTGAAATTTCAGATAGGGTTTTGCGTCTGGTTTATTTGCAGATGAAGTAAATATAGTATACAACTCAAATAAAATATACAATAGAATATGTACTTTTTTTTTTTTTACCTATTTTATATGTTTGTTTAGAATTTGCACAGGATTCTTTGACGTTATCAACACTTTGTACCTTAATAGATAATTCTCTTTTCTCAACTTTTATACCTTCCTAATTCTGTATTTTTTTACTGTTGTTATTCCTTTTTGTATATATTATTTATTATATATCTATTTTCAACAATTTCTTCATCTTTCTCTTATTATTTTCTAATTTGATAGCTTTCCTTAGCTTTATATGCTTGTTTCTCAAATTATTTAAGTTGTTTATCTATATGATTTCTCATTAAACTAATTATATGAATAATCAACCTTATTCTTAAACATCTTAAAGATAATATTACATATTTTATCTGTTGTTATATTTTTAATCTCATTTTTTTTATCTCTATATAATTTATTTCTATACATTGATTCTAAATAAATTATCATATATTATAATTATTACATCACCTCCTGAGATATATATGGTTCTTTTTAAGAAGCCCTTTTTCTCTACAATAATAACATTTATATCTTTTTTAAGCTTTGTTTTTAAAATTATTTTCATTATGAAATCTATTAGAAGAATATACACATATTTTTTTTTTTCATATACACTCAAATCTTTGTTTTACAGCATCAAATTAGATAACATATTATGTACAAAATTTTTATCCATTGAGATATTTACAATTATATTTTTCACATGTATGTTTGAATAAACCTTCTACATATATATGTAAGGATTCTATCTATTTATATTTTTTACTTCTTCATAACATAAAAATCGAAGAGCATATATAGTATTATTAATCTTAAATGAACTCATATCCTTATGTACATTTGTTCTTTCCACATTAAGTAATTTTCTCATATAAATGAATTTTTCATATGTGTTTTTAAAAAACAATCTAGATAATATAATTTATAACTATATTATGTTAACTATTTCACCATCTATTGTTAAGTATCTAAACAATGAATCTAAATGTTTGATTTTAAAGATTTCAGTATAGCACAAGTCTCTGGATTAGCTGACTCTTGAATCTTTGCTTTGTTATGAAATGTCATAAACCATATCAAATATTCTTCTAAAGATCTTTTGTTAAATTTTGGAATTCCTAATATTTTAATCTTCATTATTTCACCACCTTTCCTAGTTTGAAATTCATATGAATTAACGAACCCCACTATGTCTTATAGCATGTTCAATCTAAGTTTTTATAAATCTTATTACATTAAGTAGTACAAATCAAATGTGATTTCTGTTTACTCTGGATTCTAAATTGATTCTATGATTGTCTCCAATTTATTTATTAATTGGCGTTTCATAGAATTTTTTAGTGATTTGAATAGTCAATTAAAAAAAAGTATATAGAGAGATATATAATTATTATGTTTATCATATACAACTTAAATTAGACACTTCTATAACTTTTATTTGTTTGTCTTCTTACCATAAAATAAACAGGTTAGTATTTAAATAATTATATACCTCTTATATAGTTATCTAGTTACAATAAAAAAAAAATATTTATTTTATATACTATAGTTTTAATCACTTTTATTTACTGTACTTGTTTGTATTTATATAAAAAAAAAAATTATTTTTAAAAAATTTCCTCTCAAAAACAAAAAAAGAAAAATATATTTTTTTTAAAAGATTCAAAACCAACTTTTTTTTTTGTAATTTTTTATTATTATTTTTATCGTGAATAATTTAATAAGCATATCTCAACTACATTTCAGAAGACATGCATTTTTTTTTTCTCTACTTGCACAACATTGTTTAATACATCTTCAAATATATTTCAGTATATTTATATCGAGTATCTTGCATGCACAGGTAACTTTTACACAATCTACTATTATCATACAAAATCCCCAATTGGTCAATGATATATTTGACCAAATATTTAATCTCGCATACAAAAGTTATATATTTCACAGAAATAATATCCATTTTTATTAATCACCAAGTTGATGATTAACATTATTAGTAGGGAAACTACAACAAGGATAACGATTATAACATTAATAATTATAAAAACTTCTAGTATCATGTGAATACCTGAGATATTTAAAATAAAGATTCATAAGATGAAAACTATGGTTGTTTTAAGAATCATGAAAGAGCTTATTATAGTAATAGTTATAATAATTACAAATGGAATGTTTACTAGGTTACTTGTAACTTTGACGATAATAATATACGTTAATACTTTTTGTATTTGACTTGCAAAAAAATTAATTGAATATATATAATAAATGAAACAATTTCATGATGAAATATTAAGAAAGTTTTTTATCTATTAGGTGATTTTCATTAAAGCAAAAACGGAAAAAGTTTAAAAGTATATTTCTTTTAATAAAAAAGAATTACAATAACAGAACAAATAAAAATAAATATAAGATATTAAAAAATATATATTATATTATAAAACATATTATTTATATAATAATTTAAATATTCATATATATCAAAAAAAAACAGGAAAAATATTATAGAATATTTAAAAGAAAAATTCAGTAACATGTTCATAAGAGATTCTTCTCTACTTTTTTATTTTTTCTATTTACACTTGTTGTTCCCTTATATGAGGTTTTTAATATCAAATACAATCCTTCAAAAAAAACCATACATTTCGAGATATAAAACCTTGACTATCAGAAACTAATTATTGTTTTGTCCTTTTTTATTTATATATATTTTCACTGTTTCGTTATTTACAAAACTCTCATGCCATATTTTTTTTCCAGTCATCATAAACTGTTTGCTGCCATTGCTTTCTCAATTTTAAAATATTCATATCATTCCCTCTTGCATTATTATGAAACACTGGCCAATTTATTTTCATTGTGGGATCCGAGAACCCTTGTTCAGTTACATCCATTACTTCAACTTCTTCCATATTTATATCCATAGCATTTTCCCTTTTATTTTTATCTGTCTTCTTATTCTGTCTTCTCATTGGTAAACTATTCCCCATACTTCCAAATTGTGGGATACTTGGATTTTGAATTCCAATATTTCCAAATTGTGGGACATTTGGATTTTGAATTCCCAAATTTCCAAACTGTGGGACATTTGGATTTTGAATTCCCAAATTTCCAAACTGTGGGACACTTGGATTTTGAATTCCAATATTTCCAAACTGTGGGACATTTGGATTTTGAATTCCAATATTTCCAAATTGTGGGACATTTGGATTTTGATTTCCAAAAATTTCAGATTGTGGAATACTTGGATTTTGATTTCCAAAATTTCCAAATTGTGGGACATTTGGATTTTGAATTCCAACGTTTCCAAATTGTGGAATATTTGGATTTTGAATTCCAATATTTCCAAATTGTGGGACATTTGGATTTTGGGTATCAGGAATATTGTTACCAAAATTTCCCAATCTTATTTTCATAATATTTTCATTTACTGGAGCACTTGCATTTTCATTATTAAATTTTGCTTTGTCATCACCTGTCTCCTGCATATAGGGGGTTTTATTTTCAATTTGTATTTTATTACCTTCTATTACTAAAACATTATCTCCTTCTTGTATATGAAGTGGTTTTTTAACAGCTTCTTTTAGTTGAGATTTGTTTGTACTTTTTATTTTCCCTCTAACAAACATTGGTCCCTGTTGTGCTAATTTCCTGGAATGATATTTGTTACAGAGTAATACTGTAGTTACTTTATTTTGTTTTTTAGACATACACTGTAATTGAATTTAAAAATTATAAATTTAAAATTAGATTTTTATATTATTAGAATTTAAAATAGAATTAAAAAAGTTACTCGTTTTTATGCTTAATGCATATCTTACTTGAAAGAAATTATATAAAAGAAAAAATAATACCACGGTAAAAAGTCTAGATAACATAGAATTTTTGTAAATTTTTATTTGAGATATTTTATTTTGAACTTCAGACAAGAAAAAGGAACAATGTTCCGTGTTTTTTCTATCTGAAGCTGATACTTTTCTTAATAAATTATCATTTTTAATGCTGCAAAACCTCATATTTGCTTTTTAGGCTTTTAAAATATAAAAATTTGTTTAGTAGTATTCTATTCTTAACTAATTCTAGAATATAATTAATTATACTGCAATTATTTTCTGATCAAATTAACATTCCTAATTTGTATCATAAAAGAGTAAAAATTAAAAAAAAGTAAATGGTAATTAAAAATAAATAGATGTTTTATAAGATTGTTTACATTTTATTTACCTTAAAACTTTCATGAAAAAAACTTATATTTATAAAAATGAAATACTAACTATTCATTATATGGTATTAAAAATTTGCTTTTAATATTTTGTTTTAATTTATGTATTAAAAAAATTTAATAATTATTCAAACAATTATTTGAAGAATTTTTTCAAAAATTAATTTTTCTGGTTGATTCCTTATTATCATATACTCATCTTAATTTTTGAAAAATGTGCATATTTTTTTTTTTATATTCAAGGAGTTGAAAATACAAAAATTATTGTCAAAGCACCGATGACAATATATAATTTTCATATTACTTTTAACTTTTTAGAATTAACTTTATAAATTTTACATTTATAAAAAAAGAAATGTTTATGAAATGTTTAAACTACTATATTATTATTAAAATAGTAAATTGAATTTTATTTAGTTTTGTGTAAACTTACGGAGATTAATAGTTATTATTATTAAAACATAATATGAAGATTCTTTAAAAAAAATTGAGAAGATAGGCAATTACTATTTTAATAATGACAAACTTTTTTTTTTTTTTTTTTTTTTTTTTTTTTTTTTTGTGCGCGTCACCAATGTAGTCAATTTCTTATCATATAGTTTTTTTAATAAATTTTATTTCAATATCTTTTTTTTTTTTTTTTTTCTTTCTTTATGATGAGATTTTATAATAATTTTTTGTTCCCTTTTATTATTTCAATTTCTATTATCAAAATTTTAAATAATTCATTTATGATACGAGCACACCTTTTTTTTTAATTTTAATTTTGTTTTATTTATAAATTCAAAAGAGAAATATGAAATTATAAATGTGAAAAAAATTTAAGCATATCAATTACCTTATAAACAAACATTAAATGATGATTCCTTTTATCATTATTATTAAAGTGAACTAAAAAGATAAATTTAAAAAAAAGTAATTTTTTTTTCCTTTTAAAAATTAAATAAAAATAACTAAAATTATAATTTCTTTTGAAGGAAAATTGTATAATTTGCATTATAATTTCATATATGATATTCTAATTAAACAATCTCATATATTTTTTTTAGAATAAACTAGAAATAATTCCTTCTAAAATAAATATAGAAAATAGGAGGTGGTAAAAAGACCACAATATAATATTCTTGAAGTAATACTATTATAATATATAATTTTGTATATATATATTTTTTTTGAAATTTTCAACTTTTATCTATTAATTAACAAACTTGACTATATATATAAAACCGTTTCTATATAGTTAAATATTTAAGTTGGATATTTTTCATATTTCTTTTTACCATATAATATATATGCCTTATTATTTACTCTAAAAATGTTTTCCTTTATTTTTTTTATATAAATAAAACTAATAGTGTAAAAAATGTAGATCTATTATATATTATTTTTCTAAGTATTCATTTTTATTTATTTAAACTTTTAAAAATTTTATCATTATATAGAAGTTTTTTTTAATAGTGTTACATAAAAGATTTTTTTTTTTTTTTTTTTTTTTTTGAAAATGCATTTTTATATAATATATGAATATAAAAGTAGATATAATATTTTAATTCCCCTATAATTTAATAGAATGATAAATATTCTCAAAAAGTTAACTTTTAGTATTTAATAGTTTTTTTTTAAAGACGTAAAGAGTTTATATCTTTCACATCTCACATGATGTTTTAATGAAATAATTACATTATTACATTAATTCATATATTTAAAATAACTTTAATGGAAGTTAAACTTTTTAATATTATGTGAGAATTTTGTAAAAAGTTATTATTTTGAATATACTTACATTTTGAAAGAAAAAAAAAAACATTTTAAAATATAAAAAATTAAATTTGAAATAAAGCAAAAATTAACATAATAATGATAATGGTAGCTATTAAACGTGGTAATAGTAAATCATTGTTATAATGAAAAAAGGATTAAAAAATAGAGAATTTACTACATATACCTAATAATTATAATAACATTAATTCACACAATATTGAAAATAATTTTATGATACACTAATTTTTTTTATACTATTATAAAGATATGAAGACAATTCAGAAAACTTGAGAAATGCAAATAAAGCTAAAATTATGTGCACGGAGATATTTTTTAATAAAATGGCAATTAAAATTAAAAAAAATAAAAATAAAAAAATAAGGAAAAAGGTAAAAATATAAATAAAATTGGATAAAAAAAACGTGTGAAATATAATAAAATAAAATGAAAAGAATGATTTAATTTATATTAATATGATATATTATTAATTTTGAAATGAAAATAATAGTTGCAATTAAGAAATAAAAATAAAAAGCTATAAATATTTAGTACAATTTTATCATTATGTATAATAATTATTATCATCTCGGCTTGACACTTAAATTTTTATTTTATAAAATAATTAACTTTGTAAATGCAAATACCTTTTCACAAATATATAATAAAATTTTAACAAAAATTATTATATAAAAAAAAAAAAAAAAACGAAATATAAATGTATAAAAAGGTAAAACTAAAAATTAAGATAAAAATTAAATTGAAAATGGTCCAATAAAAAATAATAACAAAAGCAATACAGTGAAAATATGTTGTATAAGTCTAAATTACTATGTGTATATATATAATGAATACAAAAATGATTATAATAAAGTTATTAAACTATATTATAACATATATTTTTTGTTAATTATTATTATACGAACTTAATTATAATTAGTGTAAACTATAAAATTAATAGAAAGGGGAAAACAATTATATTGCTATTTATGGTAATGATGAAGATTTAAGTTATATTCTAAAAAATTCAACAAAAATATAGAAAATTATTTAGATATTATCGATAAAATATTCTAAAATGAACATATTATTGAAATTATTAATCATATATATATGTATATATGTATATATATATATATATGTAAATATGAAAAAAACTTATGTACACACATTAATGATAACGTAAGCATAAAATAAGATGAAGTATTATTAACACAATTATTTATTTAAAAATGAAATAAAAGTTAAATTGATTATTATTATTACTATCACTAAAATTATTAAAAGTATTGTTACTTTTAATTGATTAATTGCGTTTAAAATAATAATGATCATAAACGTTCATAATAGTTTCACAAAATGTTATATATATGCCTTGTATTATTAAAAGTTCTAATAAAAAGTACATATAAATAGCATTTCTTTTAAAAGAAATATATTATTTACATTGGAAATGCTAAAAACTAGTATAGCACACTTAAATACTTCCCTTGTTCATTATAAGGATTACACAATTTTTTGTTATAACATTTTATTATTAGTTATGCTTTTTTCAGATTGTTGAGTATTAATAAAGTTATTATAGATATATAGTTGAATGTGGAAATTAAATGGAAGTTTAAATTTTTATAACATTATTTTGTTTTTTCGTATTTTGAAATTTTTAATTATTTACTTTTCTCTCAATTTAAAATTTTTATTATAGTTGATTTTTTATGAGAATTTATTAAAATTAAATTTATAAAAAATAAAAAGATAATTTATTAAGAAAATGTTTCATATTTTTTTAAGATTTATATTACGAAAATAATTTATACCCATAATAGATGATATAATAATTTATAACTTCAAATCTCCTAATTTTATCAATAATTCTTGGAATTTTTAAAATTTTCAATATGTTTTTTAACATATTATTAAAAATTTTATTAGAAACATGAAAAATCGTAATATAAATAAAATATCAAGATACAGTGAATTTTCAGCTTTTTCTAAAATTATATTTTTTTCATTTCCATTTATATATTTTAATAATTTTTATTACTTGAATGTTATTTATAAGAGAAAAAACACAAAAAAAAAAAAATTATTAAAAATATACAAAAAAATATAAAAAAAAAAAAAAAAAAATACAATCTTTTCCTTTATAATGTGTTCATAAAGTGTTATTATTTTAAAAAAAAAAATCACAATTTCAAAATCAATAAACATAAGTAAAATTCATATTAAAATATATTAATGTTATCTTATGTTTTTAAATTAAAATTTTATATTAAAAATTAAAGAGTTAAAATTAATTGATGTTAAATATTAATATATATACTAATATTGTTTATTATGATTGTAACACATATCAAATTATATATATATATATATATATATATAAGGTAATATGTAAATTATTAGTCATATTGTAAAAAAACATTAATAAATGTTTTACATAATCCATAACAAAAATTATGAATGAAATGTTTGAAAAAATGCATCTTCTTAATATTATAATAATATTAAATAAAATATATAAGTAGAAATAAAATAAATAAAAAAATATATATATATATATATATATATATATATGTTTATATAGAAAAAATGGATAAAATATAGTAAATCAAAAATAAATTCCCATAAAATTCTTATATCTTTGTATTTTCTTTTTTCTTTTTATATTTTCATTATTCAACTTTCTATTCACTTTTTTAGTTTTTTTATACTCTCTGTTATATATTTACTATATATTTTCATTCTATTCTATATTATTATTTATATTAATGTTTAAATTTCTCCATTACATACTTTTTATACTCGTCTTTTCAATGAATTTTTTTTTATATTATCTCTTTCTATTATTATTAAACATTTTTTAATATTATTATATCCTTTTATTATATATGTTATTTTTTTTCGTGTGTTTTTTATTTTTCTAATGCTTTTTCTTTTCTTTTCTCTTTTTTTTTTTTTTTTTTTTATTTAGTTTATTTTTTTTTTT